GATAATGGAGTAGTAATATATCCGTCATTAGCACAGTTAAACAAACGAGCACAGTAAAACAGTCACTGGTACAGTTAGTTATAATAATAATTGTCTTCATTAAACCAATCGTGTTCTCGTGGTAAAAGTAAATCACTACAGTGTCATTAGTTGCTGAATGAGACAGACATTCCTCCTTTTGCAATGAACACAGCATTTTCTGACCCACCTCATGGCTATACTACCTCTCAACACCCAAAACCTTTCTCGGACCGTTGCCATTATCTGCGTAGCTTCAGCATGTTCCACCAAAAGATGATAATACTATAGAATAAAATTCATGATTGCATGCCTCGATGGAATTACTATGGGATGTTTCCTCGACTCGGGTCAAGAATTATTTTGAAGCCGGCCACTGACACACAACAATCTATTCATCATCATCGGATTCATGATTCGTAACGGTGAATTCGTTACCTTCACTATGCTAATGGTAACAGACGACAACATTTCAACCTCTCTCCGAAATACTATGCTTTGGATATACCGAATAAAACCTAAGCAAACTAAATTTAACTCTTCAACTCTAAGCATACCCACCTGTAGAGACAGATCAGTTCTCCCAAAGCGTATCATCGGTAGATATAGCTTGAACCGAATTTACTATGCAACGGCCCTAAGTAATCTAGTCCAATCAGAATAATAATTAATAAGTTGATCAACTATGGATCGTTCAACTATCACGTGCATGAACACTGCCTTCTTTAATTCCAGGAGATGGGGGTCAGGACCTTATACAACGTCGCCCAATACTCCTCTGGTTTCTCCAGGAAATGTTTGCCTTCCTCCCATACTCTAACATCATTGATGTCAAACTTAATCCTCCTGGATACAAAGTCTGCTATGTTTTCTTTGGAAGGCATGAATCCCGATTGGTCCACCTTGGTCGAGATTCTGTTTGCTTCGAATGTTTTAAACTGGCATTTCTCATTTGTAATATGATGTAAGACAATCATAGAGTCCGTCCAAAAATTAACCTTTGCAAACTTAATATCTAACTCGGATTGCAGCTGGGACTGCATGCGAGCTACTAACACTGCTGCCGTAAGTTCCAAGCGCGGCATAGTCTGAACCTTCAGGGGAGATACTCTTGCCTTCGCTGTGATAAGACGAGAACACACTTCGGCACCAGGGGTATAACAGAGAACATATGCTGCCGCACCTTACACACCGAATATATGAAGTTCTAGAAGCGAACGGTCTGATTGCGGAAACAGTATGCAGCGTGGAAAACTAACTCTCTCAACCCTCTGAAAGTCATTCGAAAATTCCAATCAACGATTGCTTTCTTCATCTGGAATCTCTTCGACCCAACCTAGTCCCAATTTGCCCAAATGCTGAAGTAACTGCTTCACGGGTAGTATAAACGGTGTTTACAATCCCAAGGGATCATAACGTGAGGCTACACTCGATAACATACCTCGCCTAGTGAGGGGACGGTTCGATGTGTGGACCTTAAATTCAAACGAATCAACCATAGTACTCCAGAACAATCGCAACATGCGTTCCGTAGGAAGCTTTTCAAAGTATATCTCTAACAGCATCTGCTCTTCCTTCTGGATGAATTGATTCGAGAACTTGTAAATCCACCCTTTCTGACGACTGAACCGAGGGCTCCCGCCAGCTCAATCGCATCCTGAACAATCGAGGGTAAGTAGTCGTCAACATTGAGATTTTTATCTACGACTTCCTGGACATCTTTCGTCAACTCCCTACAGAATGTATCTACGGTCTTCCTAAAAGCGAAATTATCACAAAAAGAAGAGAATATGGCTCCAAATGGATGAACTGTCAAACAATATTCGTTTGCTTCCCGCCTCATTCCACGTTCTTCCCACCATAATAGACGAAAAGTTCATCTATCTCATCTCGGGGTCTCTACTTGGAGAAACGCCTCTTCTATATCACCGGCTAACGCTATGTTACTTAATCCAAATCGTAGAAGTACACTAATTAAACTATTTTCAGTATTTGGTCCTCTCAAAATCTGATCATTGAGAGAATAACGTTGATGGATAGCTGCGCAATCAAAAACAATTCTCGATTTTCCAGACTTCTTAGTATTGATAACAGGATGATGGACAATATACCAAAAAACTGCATCACGGTCGAATCCTTCTTTACTAGCTCCAATGATATAACCCTTACTCAAATGTTTATCCATCACAGTTCGATATTTCTTCAGAAGGCTATTATCTTTCGCGAACCTTTTTTTTAAAACTCTAGTCTGTGTCTACCTAGTTCCATAGTATTCGGTAGCCTTGGCTTGTCATAATTCTAGGGTAAACCAACTTGGAAATGACCATCTACCAATCTAAAGGGACCAATAACTGTTTCTAAGGCTCTTTTGTCTTCGACAGAATATCCTTTACGAAACATGTCTGTATCCTCGAACTCATGATTATATAATCTTTCCACTATTCAGATCGTTATTAGTATGGCTCGTCGATGTGGCGACTTCGCCTTACATTTCCCCATGAATAATAGTATCAATGATTATTTTATTTTACAATAATCGTATCTATATTTCGGAATTCAATGATACGCAGACACTTAGTTGGGATTGCATTTCATCAATATTTTCGGTCATTTTATATTTAAAAGCAGTATTAAAAGAAATTTTCATGAATGCCAAATCCGACAAATCATAGTTTATAGAAACGCATCTTCAGAGTGAACGTAACGCGACCCCTTTCAGGTTGTTCAACAAAATAACTTGATAGTCTTTGACTTATATAGTAATGTCATATAAAGTATTAATAATGTTGAAAACAGATACTTTGAGCTTCAGACGAAAATCGCTATATACATACGTTTCCTACTAAATGTGTCTTATCTATGGCGTATAAAAGAAGCTGTTGGTTTGCTTAATAATTAGTAGGATGTTTGACCATAGTAAGGTTTAAATAATGTATTTTTTCATTTTTGATTAGTAATTTTTGTACACCTGTTGATCTATTTAAAAGTTACATGATATTTTACCGATTTATCACCAATTTTTTATTCAATATCAGTTTGACATGATTTTTGTAACCTACTTATGCTTAAGCAGCTGATATACATTTGTAAGCAAATAGGAATTATTTGACTGTACGGACCAATCAAATTATATTATTGAAAACCTGGAAGCACTGTTTCGTCCCAGTATGGGACTCCTCAGGCTTTTCAAAAAAACTTTTGTTTGCCTAACTTCAATTCAAAGAGGGTTATCTTAGCTCATGAAATAGTTGTCTACTTAGGTCCAGAATTGTATCGAATTCTCGTACTCCTAAGTATATATAACTTATGAAAAAAATAGCTCATTTAGAAAATGTAACTGATAACAAACAACCAATGGTTAACTGAAGTTGTTTTTACCCTTGTGGTGTGTGCTACTTATATTGACATAAGTAGTATATGATGTTAGTCGTGAACAGAAGGTCTGGCAGCGGAGAGACTAGAGGATCGGACTGTAAAGAATGGAAACAGGATGCAATTTGTATGGAAATGCAAGAACAATGAAGTCTGAATCATTTTGAGACGATTGATGGACATTTTGTAAATTAAGCATTTACTTTATGATTGTTAGGTTTTATTAACGAGTCCTGTAATTTTGTGTTAGATACATTCGATTGTCCCCACCAGTGTTCTTGTTCATTACACCCTCAATTACAATAATATTTAATTAGGAAGAATAAATAGAGTACTTCCCAAATAAATCTCAAAACGTAAACTGAAGAATTCAATCATCGATGGCTCCACTTTACTCAGTGGCTCAAGGATTTAATTTGTCTCATTAATTCTTGAAATATTAAACATTCCCATTGTGAAAATTAGAACAACACATGTAAGTGAACAATTGTTTTCAATTAAATCGTCATCGGGCTTTACTCTAATATACAAGAATATTTATACGAAAATGTTAAAACAATCTATTTCACTGTGATTATTGACCCGAACTGCCTTGATTGTTCTAACACTTTCGTATAAATCTTCTTGTATACTAGAGTAAAGCTTGATGACGATTTAATTGAAAACAACTGTCCGCTTACATATGTTGTTCTCACCAATTCTTGACAAATGTTTGGTGAATTTCACGTTGACTGCTAACAGCATGTCATTTCTGTAGTTAAAAAAGTTACACAAGACATTCTTCATTACATATGATCACAAACATTGTTTGTATGTTATTGAAAAACCGAATTAACTTCCGTTCCATAAATTACCAACGTGCACGATAATAAGAATCAAACGGTAAGGTTCTTATTTAACATTATTTAGATGAGCAAGCGGAACTTATCAGACAGATTCGTTGCAATTGCTAGCACTAAACACCATATGATAATTAAGTATTTATATAAATTGGATTATCATTTATTACAGTCAAAACAATGCTCAGACTTATGCTTTACACATAAAAACGCTTGGAACGTTTATTGATATTAGTTGAAATCATTGTTTCAGTCTCTTTTCAATGATTAAGTTTATAACAAATTTTTCAGGATTTCTCTTTTACTAGTTAAACAGAAAACAATACTTGAAGGTATTTCAATTTTACTGATACTTCTGTTACTGAAGTATATATTTAAATGGATCGAATGTATTCTTTCCTTATTAAATACGTCAGGAGAACGGGAAATCGCAATTTTACAAGCAGTGGGCTGGCAATCACCATAGATAAATGGTGAAATTCATCGAGTTCTATCTCCTACTGAATAAAATGTGTAACTTCTCTGTAAAAATGATCAGGTAGGTTAAGCAACAGGACAGAAAACATCTTGCCTCAAGGACACAAATTCACGTGGTAGATTGGTAAATTATCGAAGGACATTATCAGCATGTCCCTGTCGGGCAGTCCAGTAAAATATTTTTTCAACCTCTTCCCCCTTTTCTCAAAGACTACCGGTTGGCTAATTTACGAATGTATTGATCGTTTGCCAAGCTATCTTCTTATTGGTTATTTTTCATGGAAGCAACTAGTGCAAAAAGGTAACGAATTTATGTAGACATATTTCTTCCGTATGACAGAGTAGTCAAGATCCCTCACTTCACATATTGGATGGCAATGTTTGTCGGATTATTTCTTAATATTTATCTTGTATTCATGTTTCATTTTACTACAGTATCAGATTCAAGAAGTGTAGGAAAAATTTACAGGAAATGTCGAGCTTCTTGGTCGAAATGGATGGTCAGTAAGACAAGTCTTCACTGGAATATTAGTGATATTAATTTAAATGTAACGGGACGTAAATGTGTATGGACTAGAACCTCGTGTACTCGGAATCGACAATGTCCCTGTGAAACATACTATTCAAAAGAATTGCTGGATGTCCAATTACCTCGAAAAAGAAGTCATGTATGTGTTCAAACAAAGAGCTGTAGTGTTCTCATTTGTTCATCAATTGTTTATTTCGGAAGTAATATAGATTCAAACAACTTGGTTATAAAAACATACAAAGTTGAAAATAGAACCGATGAGAGTCAGAACTTAATAGGAATAGTTTATGTTCCACTTGATCATAGTACATGGAAATCTTATGAAGAAGACAACACTCAGGTGAAAGGAGTAAGTGAAGAAGTTAAAAGCGACTCGTATGTTTATCTTGATGTTTTACAAACACCTATAAGTTCTGTACGAGGTAAAATTTACTCACCTCTAAGTGATAATAATAATTATGACTATAGAACTGGACACTTGCTTATTTTCATAGGATCCTTGTTATTTTCGCTTCTGTGTTTATTATTTTTTATCTCTTATTTTGTTAAAACGTGTTACACAACAAGCTGTACTAACATTTGGAGTATGAAGTATCATTCCACAAAAACAAACATTCTTATTGGTGAAAATCAAGCGGAATCTGATTGATATATTTTTTTGACGTTTTCTCGTCAATTTATCCTCATGGATTTTTATCAATAAGACTTTTATCCATTTTTATTATGGTGTCTTTTAGTTTGTTTCACGGGAAACTGATATATAACTAACATTTACATAGATTAATGTCATAATGGGAATAAGTTGGCTCAGTAGTGCAACTACTAAATGAGTATTCAATGAGCTTTGAATATTGTTTCATATCGAATAGATGTATTAATCATGTTAACTAACTCAGACTAACGTCACTACTTTATGTGAACGTGCATATACGAGTATTGGTCATTTACTTTCGATGAAAACTATTGTTAATTGATGTTATTTTGCCAAACGACTTACTAAGATTACTTGTGCATGGTACCTACAAAATGATGTACATTCGGATGAACACAAAAATAACAATTTGGATTAAAAAAACTCATTCGTATACGAAATAGCAAGTCACACCCTCAAATCTAGGTGAGAAATATCATGACGTTGCATCAGATTATTCTGTACACTAAAATTGTCTTACAATTTAAATATCCCTGGGATTCGTATTTTTTGTAGCAATTATAAGATTTCTACGGATACTATATCGTGTAACACTTGCTCCTCGTCTTCTCAGTCAACTTCAACTCTAAACATGCGAAGTTAATTAAAATGCTAACTAACTTTCCAAAAACGATACCACGTTTGAGTGCACATCTTAATATCCTGAAGTGTCGAGAATTGATATGATTGCTAACGATTGACAGATTCATCTAACACGGAACAACATCTATGTTAACTAGATGAATAAGATAACTAATACATAACACTTTACCGATGACTCATCGCGCGATGAATTAGACGAGTTTTGTACGGTAGGCGTATTGCTGAAGACCCCCAAAAGAATAAAAGTATATTCGAGTTAGTCAGTTATATATGGTTCACCATGATCATTATTTACGAACTTATTGATTGTCTTTGAATACAAATCATGGTCAAAATGCGTTAAAAGTCTATGAAGTAATGTAGTCAAATTGTTATCAAAGTTGATCTTAAGTAGCTATTGATTTCCTTTCTCATTCGTTGAGTTTGGGGATTCTACATCCCCAACATAAAGCAACTATTTAGAGTGTTCATCACTATGCATACAGGTTGATTAGTTTGTTAATCCTTCAGTGATTCCCCCATAGACAAATGATACTTCTGGTTATAAAGCGTAACCAGCACTAATTTGATATCTCCGTCTTCTGTAACCTGTACTATTGACATAATCTTGTTACTACTTATTGTTCAGCGAAATAGAAAGTTCATTTTATTAACTGTACACACTGATACTTCAGTGAAGAATAATAGGAATAAATGTATAACTAAATAATTTACAATAAATTTATTTAATAGAAAAACATCCCTTCAATAAATCCACTCGTTATTTAGATTATAATGAAATGACATTTTTTTGGGTAGACAAGGATTATATTTTGTTGGTCCTGGATTAAGTAAAGCATCAATTCCACCAGGACACGTAAGTGAAGAACTATTTGCAACCATATCACCGATGCCAAGAGCAACGGGAACATTTGGCATTATCCAGCGCGGTACATTGGATAGGAAAACTGAACTAGACATAAAATGTTTTGGTACTAGTTCAGTTGTGATATTATATGTCCCTGGACCAGGATAGTTTTCCTGATCTTTATTTATAGTTTTCAAAGTTATCATTGATGAATTTGATCTAATTACGAAAAAAAAACAATGTATTATGGTGATCTTAATTAGAATAAATCTAATTGGAAAATTTAGGTAGTTAAGTTGAAGGTGGATTTTAGCGACCGTTAGAATCTTACAGTATACATTTTTAGTTCCAAATAAGATGTTTAAACCCTCAATCTGTAATTGTGATGAAACACTAGGCGTTGGTCTCCTCCCCATAGAAACATGTTCACATGAATAGATTTCAAGATCTATCACCAAGTTTGTTTATATGAGTCGGATGTTGTACATAACTTGAAGTATCTTTGAAAAAATAGTCCATATATAATCATATATAGTCATCTAGTCAAATATAAATATGCATAGATGAAGTTAAGCTGTTTTATGAGTGTAACTTTTGTATAAGGCAAATATATCTGTATAAAAGTATCAGCTAAAATCAGTTTAATAGATTGCACAGCCATACTGATGCATCACCTAATATTAAACACCAAAAAGACTAACTGTGTAATTACTGATCCAAGTAAATTTAGAATAACTCAATCCATTTGAAGTGCACTTACCCCTGAATCTAATTTAAAAATTTTGACTCAATTTATCGAAAAAAAGACGATGTGTAACACTGTTGTATAACACAAAATAATTGTTTCTATCTGGATTTCTCAGAAAAGATGAAAAATGCTTGTTCCTGATAAGTATAATCAGATATGTGGTTCTTGTACATCAACAGCTCTTCGTAAAATGCATTCAACTAAAACAATTTCAGATAGAGATGGTAGGTTTTCCAACTAATGTTTGTGATAAAAACTTTGTTCAGTCACTCATCATTGAGTTATAAGTACGAAACTGGTTATCGTTCCAATAAAAGATTAGTGATTCGTAAGAAGTAGCTTTTTAAATTGATACTGTTAGAAATTATACATTTTGGTCAGGTTTCAACGGGAAAATAGATGTTTTCAATAAATGAGAACGGGATCTAAGCGACTAGATAGACAGAACGATTGAGTTGAGTAAACTTTAACAAAAACTCGACTGGTCATATCTTCAACTAAATGAAACGGTACTTGACTTTAACATATAGCTTACTTTGTTGGAGGTAATTTAGTTAATTTTAAAGTTGAGTCATTATGATATTTGACCAAATTATATGCTCCTGGCCCAGGAAACTAAATTTATGAAAATAGAAAGAAAGATATATGAAGCATATGATCAGCAATTTAAATTCAATAATTTACTTACTTCTGATGTAGTTCTTAACGCAGAACGCTCACTTTTAGATGCAAAAGCCGAGTGGGGCAAATTAGATTGATTCGGTTTCTCATCAATATCATAATGTCCTAGACAATAGTAACCAAGACGAATACTAGATTCTTTAGTTATCTAGATTGAGTGGTAAATTGGACGTACATCACAAAAAATAAGACAGAATATACTAAACTTACGAAATTGATTCTTGGATGTTCAGTAAGAATGATTCTTTAGTAGCAACGTCACAGAATACTAACTACTAAGTACAAAATATACCAGTTGTCATACTGTGTAAATAGTTTGTTGGAAATACTAACTTTCCCCCCCCCCCCTTGAAAGAATATGCACTGTTTGTCAACTTTTACTCCTCGTTCTAACTAAAGTTGTAACGGCAAATCAGAAATAATTGATACCTATACGAAATACGGTAATAACACTGTAATGTTTTGAGACAAACTGATCTGTCAAGGTTGTGACTCAAAACTAAGTGCTGATCATTGTGCTTGCTGACTGAAATACTCCTACCAGCTACTTATTGTATCGAAACGAGATTGCAAAACTAGAAGCAGACTGATTTGCTTCCAAACCACTAATTAGACGACATTCAGAAGTAATATAGTAATTTACATACCATTTTATGTGTTTAGGTCAATCAATAAATATGGAAAAATTGGACTAGTAGTTAATCAGTAATCTAATTTGCGAATATAAACTTGCAAAATCAATGAACTAACTGACTTGACTAGGAAATACCATTCATCAACAAATTATTTGTTGTGTTCTTAATAAACAGACCGGATAGTGCGACTGAGCTCTCGAACGATACACTAAGTAGTAGACTAGGTACACTGGATCATGTTACTAGGTAATTAGACAAGTAGCCTAGATCATGGGATGAGCAGATTTACGATTCCGACCAGTGATTGAAGACCAGGCCAAAGTGATAGAACAATAGATTGTTCAGTCTAATTGCAAGCAGTCTGTATGTATTGAAAGCCAAATTTGAATTCAGAGTTACGATATAGAGTGATTTATGTTACAGGTCGTAGAGTGAGTCAGCCTCTGTTCGTTTAGTAGCCGATTACGGCTCACAAGAGAAATAATCTCCAAATCGTAACATACCTCCGAACTAAATTCTTACCGAAAAATCTTGACATCATTATTTAAGTGTCGTCAGATCTGTTAGTTATTTTCTAGCTTCAGTTCATAATTACTGGCCATGCTTGTGTTATACTATAATATTTACTAATAATATGTCGTTTGAGTCGAACCAACTGCTTATGTGTTTAATCTGTTGGAAAGAAAATGTATTTGTTTCACAAGCAAAGATGGATGGTGGCTAGCAGTGGAGTCCAGAACGCGCGCTTCGTCCTATTTGGGACTCGTCAACAGAATGTACATGTTTTGTGACCCGGCATCTGACTCCAGTTAGATCGGATAAATGATCGTCACTGAATGGTTGCTGTCGAAATATATATCCTGGATATTGTCGTACATAATTACCGACACAAATCGCAGATGTGAACAGAGAAAAAAAGAGGCCTTGACAAACTACGGAAGCTATTTTTCGGGACTATTTCAGTTAATTCCCTAGTCTATTCTACAGAATATAAGCTTTCGTTTGATGTATGATTCACTGCCATAGCCCTTTTTGTTCCAAAGCTATTGTAATTTAAACGTATTATTTGTACTCTATTTTTTTTACATTAATCCCCAGTTTTGGACATAATTGTATTTTCCTAGTTGTTGAACTTTGTGGTCGTGTTAGTCATGTATTTATTCATGTATCCTTTTACGCTGCTCTGAAATCGGGAAATAGAGAACTAGGTCAGAATTGAGAATAAATCCAGCATTGTTCCAGTTGTCTAGTCGTTTGTCACTCGCGTGCTTTTCAGCCAATCAGGTGACAGAATAGTTTTCTTCTCTCTACCCCACTTCGAGCTCAGGCGTACAGCCTCAAGGTTAGGCCGGTCAGCCTATCGTTCAAGGTCTTAATCTCTAAATTAGACAAGTTACCCTCAACACCAAAAGTGAGTAGACTGATCAAGGACGTAACAGTCACACTAGTGAACAAAGGAATACGAGAATGAAGTTTTGAATACGCATATTTTGTGCACAACGAAACGACGCGCAG